TTCTTCACAGGGGCCTCCCTCACGTCAATGAGAACATGCGACACCACACGCCAACTTCCAAGTTCTTGCATGGAGAAATAGCAGTTCAACTTAGCGATGAATGCTCCGAGAGAAAGACGACTAGTAGGTGAACCAAGCACGAGTGCTGCAAGCAGCTTAAATCTGACAGCTTTTATCTTACAGATCTGCCACCATTCTGTCCCGTATGTCCATTCCTTCTGCTTCTCCTTTAATACTTTACAGTGGGAATAACAAAAATCGACACTGAGGTGCTGAGTCAGAGCAGATACAGGTCGTGCACACTTTGCTCCAAATTATGGTATTGTGGAGCGGTGTTTCGACTAGCAAGAAGAGGACCTAAATAAGATAAGGAATGTTGCATTTCATTAAGGTGTGCAGGTTAATAACGCAGCCTTTGAAAATCGGCATGATCAATGTCCTTGATACCTGACTGTCTCGCATGCCCTACTGCCCATCTGCCAATCTGTCCTTTCCTCCCTCGGGATCGACGCAACTTCACGCATAAATTTATTCTGAAGACCATTTTGTAAGAAAAAGCGGTTAAGTGTCTGGTGTTAATGAAAACCAACGAATGTCTACAAAACAGTCTCATGTGAGCGAAATGATCCAGCCTTGTGGTTCCAATTACATTCAAATTGCCTTTCCGTCGATGCAACTGCGTTAGTGCTACTATGTGCCTTGGATACTTGTGGATGCAACGAGACAGTAACAATCGTTGCCAGGCCAGTCATGAACATCAGCCACTGCACTGATCACATTTAGCAAATTGTCTCATTTCGCATACTGTGTGCAAGTTTGTATCTCTTCTACAGTTCTGCCTACTTGATGGAACATGTTATCCATAACGTCACTTTGGTGACCAGAGGCCTCCTGCTCAGTCTCACATCAACGACAAAATAAGACCATTAATCAGGCATAGCACATGGACTAAAGGCAACGAGATTCACCATATTTGGCAGGGAAACTTCCCATCCCAGTGCAATCTGGCGTCATTCAATCTCTCGAAAATCGTAGCAACAGTCATCTTCTGAAGAACACAGTTAACAAATTCAAGGGTTGATAAAGGCGTTGTCAGGGTAGTTCAGTCAAGAATGCTATGGAGGTAAAAACATCAGATGAATTGAGTTAAGTTGGGAGTCATCTAACAGGCTTTGTGTTGCTGAATACTTGGCGGACAGACGAACGTCTGCAGACACTATTTTGTGGTTAAGT